ATGTTAAACCGATGTCTCTCGATCTCTCTCCTTACAGCTGCTTTCTCCCTGATCCTTCTATCAAACCACTCGAGCGAAGCAAGCCCAAAGAAGATTTTATTGATAGTAATTGATAAGATTGGTAGGAGAGCTGATTGCATGCTGTCTCGTCCTGTCCTTTCTTGTATTGGATATACATATGTTATATTGGTAATTTGTATTATATTAGGAATACAAATTACATTTAATAATGTAATTTGTACTACACTAGGAAAGGGGGTCGGATTTTATTATATGAAGGGAAACAAAACAAAAAGAATGAGAATAATATTCATAACCAATTATTATTTTGTCATCGCTTATCTGTGATGCTACGGTAAGTAATAAATCTTTTTTTCAAAAAAAAATCTTCCCTGGGTTTGGTTTTACGGAAAAGAAGAAGCAAAAGACAAACAACAAACATACATGTACCTCGTCTTCCTGGATTCGCATCGATTTTATCCAAGAAAGAAGTTTCACACAGAGAGAAAAAAATGAACGAAAAATATAAATAAAATTCCATAATCCCCCAAAGAAAGAAAAAAAAAAATATATTTGAGGGGACAGTGAAGATAAGAAGCATAAGGGATCGACAACCAGAGAGGTACTTAAGAAGACAGACTTAAGTGTATGCTTAAAATGCACACTTAACTTAGCTCCCCCCCCCCCCACACCCCTGTCTGCACGCCTGTCTGTGGTAGACCATTGTGTCTGTCTTTGGGAGTGACAGTGAAGTTATAATTAGCTTCATTTTTATCGAAAGATTGAGCTTTGGAATTTGAAAAGAGCCAGCATATTTTTTTGTAGAGGAATAGAGGTCTAGTTGTAAGCTATTTAGTGTTATGAAATAGAGTGTTTGGAAATAACTCTATCTATAGTCTAGCTATCATATCTAGATATTTATTCATGAGGAGTGATTCATGAGTACCGGTATATTATACTCATCTTTATTTTCTTCTTTCAAAAACACGACAAAATCATGAATCACTCCTTTATTCATACACGAAGCATCATATTCATAATACATATTTATTCTTCTGCTTCATCGTGCTTATAACTCACTTTTTTCACTCATTACTCATTCATTCATTTGTTATCTAGAACTGACTCATTCATCATTCATAATTATCCCTGTCATTCACTGCTGATAAATAATAGCATAAGAGTGTGATGTTTTTTCTTTTTTTTTTGTTAAAATATACCCATCTTGTGGTATATGCATGTTCTTTTATTAAGAGAAAATACTTTTTTTTTTTTTTTTTTTTTTTTTTTAAATAAATGGTGTCTTGTTTGATAATATGAAATGTCAATTCCATCTCGATAGCATTTCTCGAAAGCAGGGATGTCAAACCACATATACCCCGTGCACAGTATGTAGGCCATAATAATCGTTTAATAATAATAATAATAATAAGCAGATAATAGATTTTTCTAATCAAAACCTCTTCTTCCTGAGCCTATATGATTAACGTAAAATAAAAGTAAAAAAGGGTATTTCATTCATTACAAAAAACAGTAATAGAAAAAAATATGAGATTTAAGTGATGTTCTTAAAAGACGAAGAACTGGCTTCATCAGTCATATGGAACGGCCGACTGTAACACTGAAATAGCAAGTGTGTCACGGCCGCACATGGGACAAAAGCGGGCCGCACATGGGACAAAAGCGGGCCGCACATGGGACAATAGCGGGCCGCACATGGGACAAAAGCGGGCCGCACATGGGACAAGCCGCACATGGGACAATAGCGGGCCGCACATGGGGCCGCACATAGCGGGCCACGCGGCCGCACATGGGACAAAAGCGGCCGCACATGGGACAAAAGCGGGCCGCACATGGGACAAAAGCGGCCGCACATGGGACAAAAGCGGCCGCACATGGGACAGCACATGGGACAATAGCGGGCCGCACATGGGACAATACCGGGCCGCACATGGGACAATCGCAGACCGCACATAAGACCACGAGGGCCACGTGTTTGACAACCCTGCTCTAAAATTTCATCTATTTTTTTTTTCTAATCCATGCGCCAAAATTATTATATTGTTAATTACTCTGTAACATCAATATCACAACTGTTAATTATAAGTTGGATACACCTTAGAATCTTTTATCAAATAGTATTGCAGGTGAGGATAAATCATACATTGTTTACACGTGATAAGAATCATAAATATCCACAGTGATAATAGATGTGGCTATATTTTGTAATTTTCTATGTATCTTCTCTCGCAATTCTGGTTATAAAGAATATGAACAATATTCACTGACAAATATTCTCCTCATTCTTTTAATTACTTTTTACCTTATAAATTTTTTTTTTTTTTTTTTTTTTTTTTTTTTTTTTTTTTTTTTTTTTTTTTTTTTTTTTTTGCTTATTTTGGATTCATGATATAAACTTCAATTAAACATTTGCGAGAAAAACAGTTTAATTAGAGAGAAGCAAATCAGTAAATATTATTTACAAGTCTTTCATGTCCTTTTTTTTTCTTTTTCTTTTTCCTTTTTTTTCTCTTTTTTTGCTGCTGTTAAATGTTATTCTGTTTTAATTCTATCTGTATTTGCGTATAAAAGAAAATAAACTCTTAAACTGTGTCTACTTTTTTTTTTTCAATTTCCCGCTCTGATCGCCAATCCTTGATGAATCCAGATGAATCCAGATGAATCCAGATGAATCCAGATGAATCCAGATGAATCCAGATAAATCCAGATGAATCCAGATGAATCCAGATGAATCCAGATGAATCCAGATGAATCCATGTGAATCCAGATGAATCCAGATGAATCCAGATGAATCCCCTCCAGATGAATCCAGATGATCCATGAATCCAGATGAATCCAGATGAATCCTCTTGCATGCGCCTTCTATATATATATATATATATATATATATATATATATATATATATAGAGTCGAGCAATTGTCTTGATGTAGGTCTATTTACATATCCTAGCAGAGTGAAATATTATACCAGATTTTGTCAAGGTCAAAGAAAATGCATGTATGCGGATATGCACCATTTTGAGACTTTGAAAACGAATTTTATTTTCCTCATTTCTCTTAAGTGTGTGTGTGTGTGTGTGTGTGTGTGTGTGTGTGTGTGTGTGTGTGTGTGTGTGTGTGTGTGTGTGTGCGTATGTGTGCGTGTGCTCGTGCGCGTGAGAAAGTTCAAAGTCTGAGTCTAGATATTAAATAATCTACAAATATTTTTTAATCATGTTTTTTTTCTTTTTCCTTTTTCTTTCTTTCTTTTTCAAGTCTGTGGATATATAAAGCGATTGTGTGACAAATATTACATAGAAATTTTGAATGTTTTACCTACTTGCTCCACTAGAAAATTTTCATACTGATTATATCATATTCTCTTTTATGATGATTCTCAACTCGTTTTTTATATTATTATTTTTTTTTTATTTCATCATTTCCTACTTATGATGTTAATGTTATCAAGGATTTTCACTTTTCTGTCTTATGTTTCATGTGTGGTAGGTAATTTTTATCATAGTTTATAGTTCAAATCTATATTTCAACATTAATAAGGTAAATTCTTTGTTAAAATGATTCGTAATCAACACGATTTTCAAACTTCGCGCCAAAGTTGCCAGATGATCCATTTCTTCATTAAATTAAATTAACGACTCGACGCGCGGCAAGTTGCAGTTATTGCTTTAGGAATGGTGGTATAAATTCCCAAGTAACCCCAGATCGTTGTGAATTACACATTTAATTAACTAAACCCCGAGAATGCGCGCCAACGTTATTGCTGTCCGAATAAGGCGGCAGTGAATCCTTATAGACAGTTCGAACGGTGCTTCGTTTTGCAGTTCCGAATCGAAACGCGAAACAAATGAACCCTTTTTATATATAAACATTGTGCAAGGATTAGAGGCGTTAATAAGGCTGTTCCGCTTAGATTGATTTTTTTTTTCTTTTCTTTTCTTTTTCTTTCTTTTTTTGTATATAAGAGAGGAAGAAATTTTAGGAGAGGAAGAGGGGAGAGTGAAGAAAAGCTTATGTGTAAACTTCTTGAACGCACACACATGCATAAACTCTCTCTCTCTCTCTCTCTCTCTCTCTCTCTCTCTCTCTCTCTCTCTCTCTCTCTCTCTCTCTCTCTCTCTCTCTCTCTCTCTCTCTCTCACACACACACACACACACAACACACACACACACACACACACACACACACACACACACACACACACACACACACACACACGAGTAAAAAACGACCATGTAGTGATTTAACTAAAATGCTGCCTGCTACAGGGAAAAAAAACTCACCGTAAGCGAAAAAAGAAAGGAAAAGTACAATTACAAAAGAGGTGATTATAGAAGCCTTAAAGATTTCTTTGATGGCATAAACACTTCTGGGCGATGAGAACCTTGATGCTCAGTATTCAAAATTTTGTGAAATTTATTAAAACGGAGTAGAAAAATTCACATCAAATTTCAAAACTGAAGCAAGAAATGGCCCAAAATGGTTCAATTAGAGATAATGAGAAAACAAGCAGCTTCTTGGGAAAAGATTCAGAGGACATAGATCTCAGGCAGCTATCTAAGGAAGATATAACGAAATGAGTATACCCAAACCATGAGAGAGGCGAAATTAGACTTTGAAAAGGATATAACCAATAAATGTACAAGTCAACAAACACTCTTCTTTAACTACATAAATAGTAAAAGTAAGAGTAAAGATCAAAAGAAGATAGCAGACGTCTCATGCCAATGCCTCTAAAGTGACGTTAAGAACTTAGTCACGTGTGTAAAAGAGTTGAGGGAAGGTAAAAGTGTGACCCCATGAGAGACCCCGTGCCCCGAGTACCGAGGGCAGAAGGTGACCTGCCCTATGTTGCATCTGCTCCTGTTCTCCTGTCTGCTCAGTCTCTCCTGTCTGCCTGATGAGACGTCCCTTTATCCAGCGACTCCTGTTCTGGGTAAGTACCTGCTTCTGCATTTTGGGGTGTCAGTACTTCCGGCC